GTACTCTGATTATAATAATAATAATAATAATAATAATAATAATAATAATAATAATAATAATAATAATAATAATATAATAATAATAATAATAATAATAATAATAATAATAATAATAATAACAATAATAATAATAATAATAATATTAATAATAATAATAATGTATAACACTTATATAGCGCATTTCCAAGGAAGTAGCTCAATGCGCTTTACATTGGAATACCCATTTTCAAAACCTTTCTTACTACTCCTTTCTTCTCATGCAATATATAATAATGCACTCTCTCTCTCTCTCTCTCTCTCTCTCTCTCTCTCTCTCTCTCTCTCTCTCTCTCTCTCTCTCTCTCTTTCTCTCTCTCTCTCTCTCTCGCTCTCTCTCTCTACACACACACACACACACACACACACACACACACACACACACACACACACATACACACACACACACACACACACACACATACACACACACACACACGGACTATTTTCAATCAGACATAGGCACAGAACAACTATAATAAAAACAATAACGTTAAAAGCTAATGGAGGATAGGCCTGTAGGAACAGAAAATGCTTAAGATGTCTTTTGAAGCTATCAAGTGTTTTTGTTTGTAAGTTCCATGAGTAATCTGTTCCACACAAATTGACCAAGGTATGAGAAAGATCTCTCTACATATGGTTTGTACGGTTTTACGGATCTGTATGATTTTAGGAGTGATTATGACACTGACCTTGGTTTTTTAAAAAGTAATTTGGCATGTAAAAGATCATGAGATAAAGTAAAAAGCACAGCACAAGAGGGATGAGAATTAGGACTCCTCAAAACGGCGCCTTCAAATTACCCAACAACATGCATTATCCACGTGGCACAGAAAGACAAGCTAACAGGTTAATAGATGGCCAGAGAAAAATAGACAGACACAAACGCAGACACATAGACAGTTTCACAAATAAACATACAGATAGAAAAACAGAGATATAGAGGTGACAAATGGAGGCCAGAGATCAACCAAAGCACAATAGGAGGTCAAGCATTGGTGCAACAGAAGATCACAATGCCCCTGAACGTTCAGCCTAATACAACTCGCGGACTACAATGCAAAATATGTATGGGATATTCCGAACACCAATCAAAGATATCCAGAACACCTTCCTATGATGTTGCCACACACTACAGATATGACCCACCTTCGCAAACCTTAGCTGTCACAGTGGAATCTTCAGGGGCCAAAACGATGACTGGATTGTCACCACTTGGAATGTTATCTGGAGTCAGTTCCTGTACAAGAATATGCCAAAATGGAAAAGTAGGCATTGAGTGTCACGTCACGAGTACACTTCTATAGTCTAATGGAATTACGTGTTTGTCCATTCATACCACCTACATTTGTTTCTATTAAAGAAATATACCAATAGCACTTTTCTCTTTTATGCCAAATAATTAGAAGAACAAATTGCATGATATTTAACATTTTTTCTAAATCTTCTTTGAAAGTGTATATCTAAATCATAAAGCCAAATTCCTGAAGACAAAAGCATTAACAATTTTAACGTTTAGAAATATAGTCTTTTAAAACTCATATTAGCCTTCTAGCAATTTATGTAAAAGATTGCATCACAAACCTCGACGATAAACAGCTCCTGTTCATCAGATGGGTTTGATGGGATTTCTTCATCAGCTTTAGGGACAAAGGTAACGACCACACGGACTTCTCCAGTAGTTTCGACTTCGTACACGTATACGACTGGCTCTTCGGTCTCAACTGCTGGCAGGTCATCTGAAAAGTTTGGGGGAGACATTTGACATGGATCAGACTTTCAGCTCCTACTTACTTTCAATATGTAACATATGCTGGCTCCTACAATTAAGGAAAGAGATTTGATCATGCATAGAAAAGAAAAGCAAGATCTTCTTATTTCAACTTAAAGTAATTTTATTAGGCAATAATAGAAATCTACATGCAAAAGGCTCGGTTCACTTTCTTGTTGATTTCTTAAAAGTAAGTGTCTGGCATTTTCGATTAGTGCACTAAATTTTTCAGTCACGATGCAGCTTAGCAATGCAATTTACTTTTTGAGGGGTGTGCACATGTTCCTAAGTTTAAAACTGTAATCATGGTCTTTGGCATGTCCAAGAACACCTTTTCTGGAAAGAGAATGATCAAAAACCAAAATAAAATCTACTCACCAATGTCATTCTTCAGTGCACTTGCAACCTCTTCTGGTGAACGATCATCATCTGCAAGCAATCATGTACACATCATCAAAGAATCTGATATTGAATGTACTCCTTAAACAGATTCAAGCGTGTTTTAAAATTCTGGCCAGCAAACATATCCATACAACTTTCTCCAACTCATTTATGAAGACTTTACTTTAGAAATGCAAAGAACCACCCAGAAACCAGGTTATGATTGTAAATTTGAATATGTGTTTCAGTTATTCACATCCACTTCCAAATAGTACCTGTTGTTTGTGAATAAAAGTCTCAAATCCATTTTAAATATTGACTAAAGAAAACAAAAGACTATTTCATTCTCACAATTGATGACGCAAATAACTACAGAAATAATGCGCTGTAGCATTATCACGATGCAAACATTCATCTACACTCACACAAACACACACGCACACACACGCACATTACATCCCTACATATACAAACACAAACCATTACACACACACACATACACACACACACACA